CAGTTCAGAAATGAACAGGAACAGAAAACAAAAGAAAAAAGTGTTGATTTGCATCTATCACTAAGATAATGGCATGAAAAATTGTTGCAAACTCTGAAGAGCTATATACATAAAGGATAAGGAAAATATAGTGCTTGGTTTTGCATTTCATGTAACGTATCAAGAAATACCTTATATTAGCAAGTTGTCTATCTCAAGCTGGCAGTGAGGCACCTAAGAATACTTAATAAACACATATACTTACAAAATACAATTAAACTTCTCTTCTGGTACCATATGAACTTTGACATTCGGTTTCAATTTAATCTCGTTTTGAGACTCTAAGGCAGCATACAGAGAGGCAGGCAAATTCCTGTGTGTCATTACAAATCCTGCATCTAGAATATTTGATATTTGTTCTCAAATTTGCAATCAACCTAGCAAACCCATGTCTTGAATGTTAAAGTTCCTACCAGCATATGACCTTAGAGATTCCACTTCGGATACAAATGATATGATTCACTCTTGACAGCTTAACTGCTTTCCTTAACACCCAGAAGTTTGCTATGGAGGGCCCCAAAGTGATTTGTTTATCAATACAAGAGCATGCATACTCTCCCTTCTAGCATTCGTTCTTACAAATAGATTGTTTTCATTATACAACTATGCAAATGCATCGAAAGCCTGATTTATTTCAATATAAAGAAAACACAGAATTTTCTACTCCAAACCACAAAAGGTTCAAAATCTCTTTGAAAAGATTTTCCTCTTAGTTCTTAACTACTTCTTAGTGTTTTTCTGCAGTTCTAATCTTCCCTTAATTACTTCAATCTGAAACTTTTTGCTCTGTTGGCATCTTGTTCTTGTTTTCAGGGCATTAGAGACCTTATCTGTTGCTTTTCCTAAATTTTAAGAAAATGTGATCCAGGGTTAGGAACAGTTTGTAATGCTTCATTCAGACACAGACATCTCAAATAAAAATAAAAAGTCCGGTCATCTGAAGAAGTGGGCTGTACCCATGAAAGTTCATGATACCATCTACATGTTTTGTTAGACTATAAAGTGCTACCAGACCATTTGTTGTTTTTTAAGTTAATATCAAATAAAGTCATTTAGGATGGAACGGTCTATTCCTATTTCGTTCTAGCCAAATGGATAGAATAAAATTAATTTGTTTTCTTTTTCATCTATGATTAGCAAAACAGAAAGATATTTGGACAATTTGCTTCTAAAACATTAGAGCTGAATGATTGCATTTATTTTTGTTTTATACCTTAGAGTAAAAATGGTGCCTTCTCCACACAATATCTAATGGATTAACACATGAGGTAACTCCCATTAACACTAATGAGAATTGTGCACACAAGACTCCTGTGCAGATGAATAGACACAATATTCCTCAAGGCTAGGAAATGTTGATAATGGAACTAAAATTCTATACCATTCTGTTTTGTAATTGAAGACTAACAAGCTCCTATTGTGTGTCCTATTGTGCTCAAAGCTGTGTACACACACACACACACACACACACACACAGCATTGCTTCAGCAAAGAAACTTCCTTTTGTTTACTCAATAGCCCCATTTGGCCTAGTTTTACAATTATTTGGTCTGGGGACAAGTTCATCCTGTCAGTTCAGTTGCAATTAACAACATTTCTGTTCTCCCACCCCCCAACACCTTCCTATTCTGTGTGAAGAACTTCAATTACTACATCTTCCAGAATCCTAGGCTTTGGCCACCTTTTCTATAGGTGAAGAGTTTGATAATATAGAGGAAGGAAAGACTAACTCAGAATTTCTGGATTGATAACTATAGCCAAGACCCAGTAAAAAAAATGGGGAAATCAGAAGCCTAACAGCAATCCTATTCTTCTTTCCATTTCCTTTTTTCCTTTCTGGAAACATCTTTCAAAGCAAAGGCTCCATTCACAGCCTAATTATTTTCTCAGACAAGGACCAGTTTTAGTCTTGTGCAGATTTAAACTTCAAATGAGTCTCTACTGTCACCCAATTTCCTTTTATCCCAAATATTTATAGTACTATAATTCCTATGTTCATAAAAATGTCTGTTAACATAATTTTTATCAGGGAGACTTATCCAGTGAGGTTTCCACAAAGTCCTTTAAAAAGGGGGGGGGGGGAATGGAGAAGGGGAGGACCCGGTTTTCTTTCTTTCCCGGATACAAGAGATTTATGTGGCTAGCAACTAGTGACCTCAGTGGGAGTTATTGCAAATAAATCTTTTTGTATTCTGACTTCTAGTTGAGATTAAGAGCAATGTTCCCCCTATTTTTTTCCCATCCATGAACAAAATAAATTTTGTTATGGGCACCAATGATGGAAACACATGCTGCCAGCTATGGTTGCTCTGCTAATTAGCTGGACAGCATTTGATTCCTTTCTGGGTGTCCGCCCAAGCAGCCAGCTTGCATGGAACACTGGTTAGTCTATAAAGTGCTACTAGACCATTTGTAGGAAGTCACTATCATGACCCATCATTAGAAAGGAGAACATGAATCCCAACTGCCACATCAGACACTGCCTCATTACAGTAGCTGAAACCAGAAGATCAAAACACATTAGTAAACAATTCAATACAAAATTGGCTCCACCATCTTAAATATAATGCTTGATGAACAGGCCTGAATTCACCTCAGGGAAGAGGTGAAAATTAAGTCTGTTGAATAAATGCCTCACTAAAGTGTTTATTTTTCTTGCAATGAATTAGATATGTGGCAGTTCAGCTCACATGAAACAGCACAAGTAGGATGGATCCCTTAGCCTTTCAGAAGTATGAGAAAGATGTTTCGCATATTATAAAACATGGATAAAGTCCTAAGACCTGCATGCACGAAGATGACCCTAATGAAATGTGCTGCGCACGCCTATGTACCAGAGACTGAAGCTTGTTTCTCTTTTCTTTTTCCAAGTGCTTTTTTGGGGGGCAAAAGAGCTTGAGGTACCCTTGGGGGGCAGGGGGTTTCAAGTGTTCACCCCTGGGTTTTTTTAGAGATCAAAAAGCACTTGATGGTGGCAGCCAATTCCCCAAAATCTGTGTGTTAGGATTTTGGGAGGGGAAGTTTTTGTAACCAGTGCCTATAGAGGCAAAGTTTTGAAGTTCTCTTGTGGGCTTCTGTGTTCTCTTGTGTTGCTCTGCCCTGGGCTTCCTGTAGTCAGCCGCTGGTCAGTTTCAGCAGCAGCTGACTTGGGGACGCCTGGGGCAGAGTAGCTGGGGTGCTGCCGGGTTGGTCCCGTAGTGCCGAGGAGTTGGGAGGGGAAGTTTTTGTAACCAGTGCCTATAGAGGCAAAGTTTTGAAGTTCTCTTGTGGGCTTCTGTGTTCTCTTGTGTTGCTCTGCCCTGGGCTTCCTGTAGTCAGCCGCTGGTCAGTTTCAGCAGCAGCTGACTTGGGGACGCCTGGGGCAGAGTAGCTGGGGTGCTGCCGGGTTGGTCCCGTAGTGCCGAGGAGCGGCGCTACCC